GTGTCAGAGTCGTGTCAGAGTCGTGTCAGAGTCGTGTCAAGTTGTGTCAGAGTCGTATTAGAGTCGTATTAGAGTCGTGTCAAGTTGTGTTAGAGTCGTGTCAGAGTCGTGTCAGAGTCGTGTGTCAGAGTCGTGTCAGAGTCGTGTCAGAGTCGTGCGACACGGCAGATGAAGGTTCACGTTCCCTCACAAGTCTGAGTGCAGCAGCTGCACCACAGTGAGATGTTGGCCTCAATGTGCAGGACTACACCCCTGAACAGAACGACCTGCACCGTGAAACTGTGGTCCAGAGGACCAGACTTCACTTCTTTAGATGTTTCTACCTGGATTACTGAGCGTGCATCTGAAGAAGTGTAGGTTTTAATGAAAGAGTTTTGAACTTTCCCTCTTTTCTCCACCAAGTTTTTTGGATCAAGACAAAACGTTTGAACAGAGACGGACTTGTCCAAACGTGACATTTCTAAACGCTGTGGTTAACAGTGTGCTGCATGGTTTGTCCTGGTGCAGATTATGTTTGATGGAGATCTTTTTTACAGCAGCGTAATCCCAGTCCATCTCTGAGTGACGAGAAAGACGGAAGTCTTTCTGAAATTGTGCTTCAGAACGAACTGAAGGTGACTTCCTGTTTTTATTAAAGTCCATCTTCTTTCATATCATTAGAAAATATCTGCTGACAGATTGACACGTGTTGGTGGCAGGTGGAGCAGCTGACGAAGGACTGGTCAGAGAGCTGGCAGGACCAGAAGCAGCTGCTGGACCAGTACAGCGTGGACATCAACAGAGACCAGGCGGGCTTCCTCATCAACTCTCTTCAGCCACACCTGGTTTCCCTGGACAGAGATGTTCTCAGCACAGGAGTTGTCTTTTATCACCTCAGGGTATGACGAGTTATGAAGAAACGCTTTGAGAGATATTTCTTATTATTGGAAGAAAAAATGTATTTGTAAACTCTTTAGATGCATTTTAAAGAAAGGTTTGTAAGATCAGTCATCCAGGTAGACACAACAAAATCAATCAACCTTTATTTCTACAGGTAAATCCCATTGAGCCTCGAGGACTCATTTACAAGAGAGACCTGATTTAACAAAGAAAGATTTGAAGAAGAAAGAAAAAGTTAACTCTTGTCATCTGGACCAGTTTGTTTACGTGAGAAACAATCTGTCTCCCATCCAGAGGACTTCTTCAGTCTAGGACCTGCCAACCAGATCTGTCCCACAGGTAGCCTTCACTGCTGTCTCAAGACAACGTCCTGCTGGAACCTCAGAAGTTTGAGCTTGTAACACGTGCAAACTGTGAACAGCCGTCCAAAACCAAACGTGTCTCACTTCAACACACTGGTCCAGATGACACACTGGTCCAGATGGCACACTGGTCCA